TGTGAGTGTAAAATTGACCTTCTATTCACCACATCCGACACGTTGACTAAAGATTACAACTGCACGTATAGCCTCTAGCAGGTGCGTTATTTCCTATATTGCATAGTTCTGTGGCCTACATCCGGTAGGTAATTCTATGGAGGCCCGGGTGAAGACCTATCTTGGCTATTATCTAACTTATTTCTATAGTTAATAATTTTTTTTTAGCTGCTAATAAAGAAACAGTTTATAGTGGGGTTTCATCTTTAGCAGCAGTTCTGATAAAATAAAAGGTTTACTTAAGGTGAAGTTACTTGGAGATCCACTTTAGTATGTCGTTCAACCATTAACGTTCTTATCTATTTAAGTAAATCATAACATTTTTAAATTATTACTACCTTGCGTTGCTACGTCTTAGCTCCACTCGTTCCAAGCTATTTGCGGACTAATGCAAAGCCCCTCAATAACTCAATTATCTTTTTCCTTATATAACACCCTAGCTACAGGTTCTACAGCTTAACTTTAAAACTACGCGCATAAAGAAAGTTATAATTACCAGAATAATATTTGTGGTACAAGCGAATAAAGTGCATTGTTATAGTTTATAAGGAAGCATGAAAATCTTTATAAAACATACTTTCAGTATATAGTGTGCTTCGTAAAAAGTCTGGACTTTGAACATTAAGTGATATAAACCACTGGTTTGAGCGACGTGCTTTTTATATTTGTACGAGCCTTGGTTCATTTTCAGGTTTTTCAGGGCTTATTTTCCAGTGCTAAGGAATATGACAACAAAAAGTCTGAAGTTGCCCTTAAAGCTTTTTGCAGGCTAACACTTTTTACTCGTATCCTTTGTTGTTAAATAATGGACGTATACAAGGAAATCTAGTTTTTGTAAAAAGTTAGTTAGTTTCCATAATATTGAAGATTAAGAGCTAAATTGGTATATGAGTGCCTAGTAGGCAGTCTATTACTAGTGAGCATCTCTATAACACTGACACCCAGTTTTTTTTTAATTAAAACATATTTTTATAGGTAAAACAAGGGTAATTATAAAATTAAAATATTCGCAGCTCTTTCATTTACCACTTAATTGCACTGCAAGACTTTATATAACGATCATTCATTATAAATACCAGAAACTAAAAGAACTAGCTTAAAATTTATATATACGCTTTATATACTCATTTCTACTGTTTTTTACTTAGCTTGAAAGAAAAAAATAAAATGTGAGTATGCTGAGCAAAATTTTGCTTGTAAAGATTTTATTTATTACTAACCCAACACCATTATTTTAATGTAGAAAAATATGGTGTCCACTCTAAACACAAAACAACTAAGGTTAATGTTACAACAGTAAATAAAAAGTTTAGGTTCCTCAAACACTGCCATCTGTTTGCTCGTTATTGGCTGATATATTATTATTAATATTTAAGAATGAAAAAGAGTAAGGTGGAAGGAACAGAACTTTTAAGCTAGAATTCTCTACTATACCTTTGATTTGTTCATCATTCTAGCAAGGTGCGAGTTTTACGTTCGGCTAGTGATTGTCAGAGCTTAAGCATGCTGCAGGCGCTAAAAACAATTTTTTCCTTTCCGTTAAGCCGTCTCGTTTATCTTTCAAGACGCAATTCAATGCTCAATTCACATGTTTCTGTAATTTTTGACCGAGCACTAGTTACGGTAGCAGCGTATTTACATAAGAGCTTTTCATATTTAAGTAAATTTCTACTAGACTATTAGCCCCCTTTAATAATCATAGAGCGTTGTGTGCATTTTATTGAGCTCCTTACCACACTAAGCATTTTTTTTTGTTTTTACAGGGAGCTCTAATTCCTTTTTGTACCCTTAGCTTGAAATTTCTGTTTCAACTAAAGTTTCTACATCTATTTTTTTCTAATATATATATTTCTTAATTTTAACCATTATAGTTAATAACTCCTCTTACTTATTATTTATCCGCTTCCTCCTTCTCTTTCTTCCGGGAGAAGGGGCCCCATGAAACACTTACACGATATACTTTACAACATGGCGCATACCTTATGGGGGAGGCTTAGTTTGCAAAGCAAGCGCTTTATATAAGAGCATGATGTCTTTACGCACCAGGCTGCGTCTAGATTTGATGTTCTACGATCATTATGGAATACGCTTCACCAGCTTGGAAACTCGATACGCAGTCAACTAAGAACGCAATGCAAGTACGGCACAACTAATTGCTGTGGCTGCTGATCAGCGCATCTTATTTTGTATTAAGGTACAGTGTGCATGATGGCTCAACTGTTCTTCAACTTGGATAATTTTGTAAAGCGCATTGTTGCTACCCTATGGAATGGATGACGCATTCAAACCTCTCTAGACAAAAAAATTTTTTTTTTTTAGAAAAACGCTGTTACAGCCTCCCTCGCGAGGCACTTTGAGATAAAAATTATTATTAATTATTAAATATTTGAATTAATAAAAGCAAACAAAGAATTGTCGCCCAAGCTGAGCAGTCTGCGCTCAAGTATACCGAGCACCTGCAGAATTTAGTAACAAAACTCTACCTTCTTTCCTTCCCCCCTTTTATTTCTTCTTTCTTTTAATTGTTTCTGTTTCATCTTTATATATGATTTTATTTTTTATTATTAATAATACCCTTTTCAAAATGAAGTGGCAAAAGCTAATAGAAATAATATATAAGGTTGAACAGGATCAATATGCAAATTTTTCTTTATAAATTAAAACCTTTATTGCGGAACATTGGTGAAAGGTCCAAAAATATTTCTAATTCGTCTTTGTATATAGGAATGCGCACATTTTTTCTAGTGGTGCAAAGACGCCTAGTGTGATTCCGTATTGTAATATAGTAAGTTCTCATAGCGTTCATTATTACACTTTAGTGATTAAATTTCGCAGTGCCAGTCTCAGCATTAACAAAAATAACCATGCGGAAAAGAGTAGTTTGCTATGGCCGCAGCCATCAAAGACCCTGAAAAAAAAAAAGAGAGTTGAGTCGGCGGGAGCCGAGCTTACGACCTTGAGTTGCTTGTCAATGCTTTTTAGTTCCTGTGAGAAGGATTTACGCATTTATCTTGTTAGACTCTACATTGTCCATGAAATAATTCGTCTCTATTTAAAAGATGAGGACTACACTTTAGTTTAGTACAGTTGTAATATATCTTTAGCTAACAAAAAAAAAGTTATCTGATAAACTATTATTAAGTAATCTCAAAGTAAAATAAAGATTCATAAACTTTCCCTCTGATTTTATTTTAATTGTAAAAATAAGAAATGGCTTCCAGTTATGTAAGAATTCGTCTCTTAAAACGAATTATCTAAAGCACTGTACTTTTACAGAACTCTAGCTCTCGTTGTACGGTTTAGCATTAATTACAGAAAAGGTAACACCAGAGTTTCATTACACTATTATCGTTTGCAAACCAACACTTAAAAAAAGCAACAGGTACTTGCTGGACTCGCCCCCGCGTTCAAGGCCTTCACTATGCTAACTAACCACCCACTGGAAAGTTCTATTACCAATGTTCTTGTTTCGAAGATATTAGCTAAGATAAAGAAATCTTGACTTAGAGGTAAGACAAGAATATATACTTCAGCAGTAGGCTCCCTATTCCACTTTTAAATACTCTATAATTACATTTGTATATGATTAAGAAAACGTCAATTTAAAAAGAAATTGCTAGAAAGCTCTATAATTTTCAAGTTTATTGACTTTTCTTCACAATTATAATAACTTAAATGTCACAAATTAACCTTCTTAATGTAATTCATATACGTAAATAATCTAAATAATATAAGTGCTAAAAAACAAGTACCCAAGCCAAACCATTTAAAAAAATATATGAACATTTGCTTAGAGCCCAAGTGAAATTTGTGAGGAAAGAGAGCATTACTAAAAGAAAGGAGTTATATTCGTGCAATAATCTACACGTCGTACGATTTTTGTAGCTCGAATTTAGTTTGTGATGATCATAAGGGCTTATTAAGCCCCTTGTTAAAAGAGTGTAATCTTTTAAACGTTTACGATGATCAATTCTTTTTTAAGTCACAGAGATGCCTAAAAATAAATATCGCTTGATAAACTATAACATACTGGTTGCAGTATTGATCGAGCCTATTTACGCTAGCTACTATAGTGACTACTAACGATATGAAGATTTACTTAAAAATTTTATATTTATTAATATGAGTATCTCCACTATTAGTTCACAGGCACCCGAAAGCTAATAAAGGAGGACATGGCGGAAAGCACAAGAGTTCCATCCATCCACTCTTTCCCATGCAATATACCGCACCCTTAAAAATTGCCTATTGACCTTTTCGTTCGTAAAGTAGCTTACTATTTTGCTCGCTTTATCATTTTAAAAACAGGCTAAATGGTTTAGAATTTTTTTTACATATAATATAAGGCTATTTTAAATAAATTAATTAAAAATTGGGCGGTTACTCAAAAAGGTTAACATGCTTAAGGCAACATTTCTTTTGACACTTGGTTCTATATATTATGATCAATCAAATTTAAAAATTTAGTTCTTCATTGCCTAATTAACTGGAAAAGTACTTTTACATTCTTTTCATTCAAAAAAGTCTTATTAAAAAGTTTTTGAATCACTTAATTTATTTGATTGTTCAGTAACTAATGTATAACAAAGGTAAAATAACTCAAAGGGTAATTATATAACAAGAGTTGCCTTTATATCCACTAATAGGTAATTTATATATCGCACCAAGACAAGTGGTACTTATTAACTTTATGAGAGCAAAAAAAATACTAAACTATAGGAAGAAATTTTGTCCTGTCCTGACTGTAATATACTTTTAGTTCGGTATTATGTTAAGTGAAATTTTTAGCGCTAACTTCGAAATGTTTAGTGAAAACTTCCACGCGTAGTAGGTGAACTGCTTTGAGAGACCTGCCCTTTTCTAGTCAAGGGCAGTTTCCATGTCCTAAACTTTATATATTGGTATAAATGGACAACTCTAAAAATTTGGAAAACGAGTCCTTCTCTTTGTCCGAAAGTTTTAAAAATTTGAGTTTGGAAAATAAAGAGAGTTTTGCAAGTTTAAACTCTACTGGACAGACAGCACCTCCGTTTTTTTCCCCTCACAAAAATATATGGCATAAAGCCGCAGATAAGAGCTCTAAAAATTCCTACATATACAAGAACAAAAATTTTATTACTAAAGACACTCCCATTAAATATCGGGAACCTTGCATTCCTACTGGTAAAACACCGCCTAGGAAAGTGGTAAGCTTCAAGTAAATTTTATAAATTAAAAAAAAGAACCTCTGTCATAACTAGGACGTTTATACCCCTTACTTGACTTCTAGTGAAATTTTGTCAGGTTTAAAGGCAAAGAAATATTTTACGGGGATATTACGAATAAATAAAAACAGTTTTCAAGAGGCTTACTTATCTTCTCCGAGGTTCTAAATATTACTTCAGGTTGTATAAGAAATACTGAACTTTTTATTTTTTTTAAGTTTCGACAAAGACCTGTTTGTAGAGGGTCTGAAAAGTAGAAATCGCGCACTTAACGGAGATGTTGTCTATTTTGAAGTTCTTCCTCGGGATCAGTGGAAAATTTTGAATCGGGACTTTACCGCATCTTTAAAAATTAGGTTATAGAGTTTTTAATATTTGCAGGTTATAGTTTACAAAGCTCATAATAATTCATATAGTGGAAGTTATACTCCAAAAGTTTTAAGTTTAGACCCTTCTGATTATGAGGATGCATTCTTGCGCAAAACGGCTTCTGTTGTAGGCATCTATAAAAAGGTTGTTTTCCCGGCACTTCCTGGACAGCTTTGCTACAACACTCTTCACAACAGGTTCACCCTCGCACCACTATTGGTTACTTTAAAGAGGGCAAAAAGCGTTATATGTTGTATTCTACCGATAAGCGGGTGCCTAGAATTTTTATTAATCACTCCTCGCTATGGAAAGAATTACTAGACGAGCAGGTTAGTGATTTTAACTTTTTTTTCTTGCTCGACATTTTACTATGCACTCTCACTCCAAGGGTCATCATCTTAAAAAGGCTTACTTCAATAATTATCTCTTTTTAGTGGAGATTGTCTTCTGGAATACCGACTCTCTTTTTCCCTCAGGAAAAGTCGTTAAGATGTTAGGTTTTCGCCTTTTATCTCTAAAGCCTTGCGCATCACTTTTGTGTGTATTTTGTAGGACGAGGCTGCTGCATAGAGACAGAAACAGAAGCCCTAAAGCTGGACTATTCCGTCCCTTCCGAAGTCTGGGATGCGGGTGTTACCGCCTGCCTGCCTTGCCTCGTAGTTCTGCCGATTCTTTTCTCCATACTCGCATTTCCACAAATACCCTCACAGCCTTGGACTATACCAGCCTCCGAATATCAGCTTCGAGAGGACCTCCGGAAAGACTGCATCTTTACCGTCGATCCCGCAACCGCTCGTGATTTGGACGACGCACTTTCCATAACTGAGACTCCCGACGGCTGTTGCATCGTGGGTGTGCACATTGCCGATGTACGCCCTGATAAGCGAGTCTTCTACTGCTACTGGTGCTTATTTTCCGTCCACTTATAGGTCTCTTACTTTGTAACTCCTGACACGCCTCTCGACTTGGAGGCCCGCCATCGGGCATGTACTGTTTATTTAGTCCAGCAATCCTTCTGTATGGTCCGCGACGTCCTTCACCGGTGGCTTCCCATTATTACTGTGCTTTCTATTTCTCCAGCTTCCCCGGCTGCTCAGCGAGGATGTGTGCTCCTTACTGCCGGGAAGGGACAGGCTGGCCGTTTCCCTCTTCTGGAAATTGAACGCGCAAGGTTTGTGGCCTGCAAAGTCAGCCCTTGTCCTGCGTCTGAGTGCCTTCCTGCAGCCGAGGTACTCGCTCATTGGTCCCGGCGTTCAGTCGTGCACTCGTGCTGCCAGTTGTCTTACGACGATGCTCAGATGATTATCGATTTAAAGACCGGTTAGTTTGCGACTTAATATTCACTTGCTCTCTGCGTGCGACGGTGCTGTGATTCCGTAAGACGCGCCTCTCAGGGGCAGAGTTACACATGGAGAGCATACTCTGGAGCAAATTGCAGCGTCTATAATTAAACTGAATGCTTTGGCTGCCCACCTTCAAGCGCAGCGCATAAAGAACGGTTCTGTAAGTTTTTTTATCCTCCCCCCTCTGAAAAAAAAAAACGTCGGCTTCTCCTTATTTCACGGTGCTCAGTTGCACCTGGATTTCCCTAAACTGGATTTTGAGCTAGACAAACTTGGTCACCCCGTTTCCGTGCAGCGCCACGAAACGGTCAGTGGCATTGGAATCTCTGGTGGCCGAATTATAATGAATGTACCGCCTTTTAGTGTGCTGCTCGTTGCATGGTCAGCGAGTTTATGATCTTGGCCAACGCTACCGTAGCAAATATTCTAAGGGACAACTTCCCCGATCAGGCATTCTTACGGGCTCACAGCGCTCCGGAAGGTACTTATATTAGGCAACTGTATTTTAAAGGCGTCTATCTAATCTTTGTAGACGGCAGATTGTGTAAAGTGGCGTCCTTTTTAGAAAATTACAACATTCACATCGACGGAACATCATCCGCCTCCCTCCTTGTATCTCATTGGTTGCTAATCCTTATAATCTCTAATGATATGTATCCTTCAGTCGTCCCTAGACTGTCTGCAAAAGCGAGTGGGGAGCGACCTAGACTCAGCCGAGCTTGACTTGGTTATATATTACCTAATCAAACCGATGCAAACTGCCAGATACGTCTGCCCCGAGGCTGGTCCCTTTTCTTCTTTGGTATCAAAGAAATAACCTCTTTACGCCTTTTATTGGGTCTTGCAGAATATTACAGGGAGCTAAAAGCGAGAGCTTATAAAGTTTGGGCCACTCGTGACCAAGAAGGCCCGCCCCACGAGAATTGGTTCGACTTCTTCACCGATTCGTGGGGCGACCAACACATTCAAGCCCTTGTGGATTACCTGGCCAAGCATGGTGTACGTTGCACCAGCGGTAATGATCGCAGGCTTAACCGCCGAGTGCCAAGATGTTGGATGACTTTTTCTAAGTAGAACCAATGACAGCCGAATTGCTGCGACACTATTCGCTTGCTCTGCCCATGTACACTCACTTCACTTCTCCCATTCGGCGGTATGCGGATATCATCACGCATCGGATGCTTCTTTCTGCCACTGGTCAGCTGTGCTTCTTGTGCAAAGTTTATAATGGAACACGTTTGGCTGTAGAGGGAACCGACTTTGGTATTTCCACATGCGAGCTTAGCAAACTCGCCGAGCACTGCAACCGCCGGCGACTTTTAGTCAGCGATGCTCAACTCCAGAGCAACCGAGTCTTCCTTGGAGCATTTATAGCTCGACGGGGCCCGCTTAGAGTGGTGGAGTTTGATATTCGTCTCTCCTTCCTCACTGAAGGGCGGACTTCTTACACTTCTCTCGCAGAACGGCATAGTGGCGAGCATCTATGATAAATCCTTTGATGTTTTTATTCCCGCTTATGGCCTGGAAAGTCGCGTGAACATTTGTGAGATTCCTCATTTGCTTTCCAGTGAGTTGAAAGTGATTTTTTCGACTTTAAACAGTTGAGTGGCGCTAATTACTTTGAGTCACGTTTTAGGATGGTTATTTACTTTTTACTTGGAAATCTGGCTCTTCCGGCTTTATTCTTTTGGAAAGTATTAACTTGAAACGCGTCAGCGAAATTCTGAATAAGAAGTTTGGGGTGTGTACTTTTTATCAGTAATTAAAAGTACTGCATTATAACGGTTGCGTATTAAATAGTTCTGCGACGTCTCCCAGGATGGCCCGGTGCAGACTATCATACCCTTCACACAACTGCAGCTTGAGTGCTCCTGCGACTTATCCAAGCCGCATATGGATATAAACGTAATTCCTGTGGTGCAAAGGCAGGAGCACGCATGACACCCACGGGGAATGTGGTTTTTAACGTAATTAATTAAAAATGTTGATATTATCCCCTTGAAATCGTCACGTCTTAGCGTAAACTTGATAAAAGTTATTTTTTATTTAATAAAAAAACTCAAAGAGTCAATTAGCAGCTTATCCTGATATATCTTAAAGTGTGCAACTACACAACTATCCGTATAATTTTTTTTAAAAAAATCCCAAGCCTATGAAGTAGCACTCTTGCATTATGGAAAGAAACTCTAGCTGCTAGCAGAAGTGGAAAAAAGTAGCTACTAGAAATTACTCTTGTTAAATACAAGCATTCTTCCTTTGGCTATCTACACTTTAAATATGTGCTCTTTACCTTAAACCCAGGTCATAAGGATTGCATTTCCTTGTTAGTATTTTGATGGACGTTTGCAGAAGCACTAAGGGGCTATTTTTTTCACTATGTTATGAGTACGAGCTGTAACTTGGCCTATGTAGTTTATATTAGTTTTTGTTTATATCCAAGGAGTCGAAGTAATTACCGGAAAATAAATCTAATCCCATTAACGAAATGAAACTGTATGCCTATGCCTACACCTTGGTTTCTTAAAAGTAGGCGTTATTTTGAACCGTCTAAACGAGTTGTGAATGTAGTATTATTTCTATAGTAATAATAAAACGATAAAATATACCTATTACCTGCTCCAAATGGGATAAAGAAGTTTAGAGAAAGATAGCAAAAAAAATTAATAAAAGCAACTTTGATAGAATTAATACAAGTCATAGCATCCTTGTTTTACTGTAGAAAAGATGAGTATCTTTACCACTTATAAGCTTATAAAAAATTTTAAAATGTATACTTATCACCCTTTTTTCTAAAAAGAATTAAGTCTACACGTAGCAAATTTTTTAAACTGAGCGTGAAAGAGATTAAAGAACTATAAACGTAGGGTTGTCTTCCGTATAAAGTTATAACAAAATAAAACTTAGAAACTTCTTCAATTCCCTGATTTCAATAAAATTAAATAAACAATAATCAAATCAGTTTAAAACCAAGGTATATATTTTAGGTTTTGTGAACGTTGATAAAAAAGTGAAAAAAGTGGTCAATGCTCCGATGTCAGTTACAAAAATGTGCTCAATTCTCCCATACGAAAAAAGGAAGAAAAGCTCAGAGCGAACTCCATGCTTGCTACAAAGGTTGCACATATACTAAAAAAAAATATACGCTCCTACTGTCGACTATGGTGTGTTTGCAAAAAGCAACCTTATGCCCAGCGGCGCCTATATGTTATTCATGCCCGTTCCGTCGCCGCCTGAAAGAACTATATGTAAGCAGTAGGGTGGCTTTGCTTGCGGAACATTTCAGCCCATAGATTTTAAACTCCGCAGAAATTATATTTAAAAATATAATAAACAAAAATGGATACCCAGGATAATAACTAAAATCCTTTTCTAAAAAGTGAATAGCGTCAGGGAGATAAAAACAGTTGTAGTCCGCTAAATTTGTAGAAAGACTATACACAATCCTAAAATATTTTTTATCGGTATGACCTAAAGTACGAGATAGAGGAGGGCTACTGCTAAGCAAAACACTAATTACAACCTCTTTAGATGTTTGAACTTGCTAAATATTGGTGTTTCGAGTAGGTTTACAACCTTATTATTAATTTATGTTTATTACCGACATGCTACAGTCGATATGCATAGATCATTTTTACTGCTTACTCTTATTCCCCTCCGGAAACTAGTCTCTTTGACGAGTCGCGATTTTCACAGTTTGCCTAACTCCTTAGAAGCAAATCGGACAAAGGAATTTTTTAACAACCAATATATATATATTTAATATAAAAAATAAATATATTAAATATAATAGTATAAAATAAAAATAAATAAATTAAAATATAAGAGAATAGGGAAGTAAATAAGTTAAGTAGATAATTAATATGATAATTTCCGCTATTTTCCTATATATGTTAACTGAAGAATAAATAATATTTATGACTGAGGCATCTTAATGTAACTATAAATATGTAATCTATCATACATTCTAATATTAAATATAAATTATTAACAAACATTTAGGGTGATAAATTAAAGCTCAAAGAAAGGACCTAAAAAAGTGTTTAAGCCTTTATATCTGTTGTAACAGTCTGTAATACTTCAACAACAGCAGCTAGTAAACTATAAGGATGTGCACTGTATTCTTTATAGCATTTACTCGTAATTTATAGGAACTCCATGACTGTATCAGTTGCAGTCACGAGTAAACTGAGTATTATGTATGCCTCAGGGAGCGACCGTGATCATTCTAAGGGGCTTGTTTTCAATAACTTGCAGTCTATTTGTTTGACACTAAGAAGTAGAACAAAGAAACGAAAGCATACATCATTACCTGGATTAATACGGATTTATATAAAAGCGGTTTTTTTGAGGTTGAGCTTCCTGCGCCTACATATTAACGGGTATGAAACTTTCTTGGTAAAGTTCATTTATTTCATGACGTATTTAACATGAGCGCACCCAGTTAATTTTTTTGGTCGATAATAAGTCACAAGTACTTAACATGAGCTCCACATATTGGCAGTTTAAAAACATGTAGGGTTTTGTGGCTTTAGATTTTATCTCTTTTTTATTGTAATAAACGTCTCCGAACTTTTAAAAACATTAATCTTTATCTTTTAAGCTGCAAAGCAAAATTCCAAACTGTGAAGATTGCTAAAGATGTTCAGCGAGAGCCGTCGATTTAGAGCTGCGGAATATAGCTGTGTAGTCCGCATATCGGGCTAGTGATACGTTATTTAATACTGGCATATGTCGTACAAATCGCGAAAGAAGCGAGGCTAAAAGTGATCCTCGAGGGATTCCAATGTTCCAACCTTTAACCTTTGGGTTCAACGTTCCTATGCGGTTTGTTAATATTCTGTTCGATAAGAAAATTTTATTAGTCAATAATAAGGACATAAGTAAGTGAACAACCGAGCTTGTCTACAAGACCGTTACATCAAACTTTATTGAAGGCTTATTCTACGTCTAAGTGTACTATGACGTTCTTTTCAACCCTTTAAGTAATACATATCAGTCCTCAGAAATCAAGTTGAGGATCTGGAATAGAGCCTTCCTATTGGTAAATTTTATAATCTCGCGAGTATCACAGTCTGCGCAACTTTACCGATGCAGGATATTGAACTTATAAACCGATAGCTCATGCAAAAGTTCCTGGTTTCTTTTATTTGAGAATTAAAACAATTTTCACTAACTTCTAACGATTTAAAGAGTAGAATATTGTTTTTATTGAGCTAGTTTGTTAAGGCAATATTCTTAGTAGTATTAATGTTTGAGCATGAGGTTGTGTGTTCCCGCAGCCTATTTGTAATTTCTTCGTAGCTGGTAAGATAGTGAGTGTCCAAATTATTGCTATAGGCTGTCTCAAACCAGTTCTTCTTGAGTTGTGGAGGAAGGCTCAGAAAACGGGGAGAAGTGTTGTGCTAGCACGTAAGATTTACCTTTGGCAATATATGCCACGCCCTCCTCATGGTATATGGGTGGTAAATCTAACATATTGCGGTAGGAATGCTAAAATAGAGCCTTAATCTATTATTAATATCCTCTATTAACTAAATAATTTCGAACAACTAATCTTAAACAACTATTAAGATCACCCCATAGATGATTATTATTCCTTTACTTTTTAGGCCCTGAAGACCAGGATCTATAATAATTACAATTAACCACAGTACGAGCCATTCCAGATCTACAAACTGGAGCCCAAAAACGAACAAAAACCAGCAGAGAGCAAAGACAATTTTGTTAATAAATAGCTATATATATAAATGGGCGTTTAAAATAATTTTTAATATGCTATATTAACCCATTTTACAAGATGATACAAAATAATTGCCGTTTATCCATGTGCGCTAAACGATGCTAAAATTTATAGCAGCTCTACTATTGGCGTGTTTGCTAAGATAGCGTTAATTCTTTAGAGTTTGCCGAAGGATTAAGGGACCTTGAAAATTTTCATAACGACAAATCGCGGATTTCACCCATTTTAACTTTTTTTTGTTCATCCTTTAATAAATATTTAATTTTGTTGTAGGCTTCTTTGTCCTCTAAGAAGTCAGCGTCTCCTTTTAATTATTTGTTTAATAGCGGGGTCATCATCAGGTTAAAGGATCTAGAGAATTTAAGCTTTCTAAGTTGTTGATCCTAAGTGACGGACTGCCTATGCATATTAATACTTGACTTAGATGGCGGAAAAGTATATTTTAATAAAATTTCTCTGTCTAATCATAGCACGTCAAAAGAAGTAATCAATACAGGGACATATCTATGTTTTAAGTACTGCAATGTCCAATACACAAGTGGTCTCATGGGGTAAGGGGTCTTCTGGTCCCAGAACAAGGCAATCAGTTATATTAGCCCAGCCGGTTAGGGGTTTTCCATTTTTATTCGCACAGCATCTGTTCCAACTCGCGTGCTTGGATTGAAAATTACTGGTTGCCAAGAAGGAGTTCGATAAACCACAAATTTATCTAGATACCCATTACTTAACTTTTTGCTTGGAAACTAGCTGGAACCACTGATACATTACATTGCCATTTTTTTGTAGTTTGTTGTGTACCTCCGCAGCTTCTGAGCTCTAAACGTTACTCACATATATCTCCGTGTACATGCCCTTCTTAAATGTAATTGCACATCCTTTTTCTGCAGCCATGCGATCGTGTATAAATAGCGTAAGTTGAAAAATTGTTACCTTCTTCCAGTAAGTTTTCCAAATGAGAATAATATCTTAACCCTACAGTAACCGCAGGGGGTCTCACAGATCTGGAAATTATTTTGTTTTCCTTATTTATACATTAGATAGGAAGTTAAAGTTTAGTGTGACCTGCAACCTAATATCTCAATAGACAACAAATGTTCAGAAGTTAACGGTATTTTTTATTCAATATAAAAGAAAAAATTTAAAACTTATGGGGTCAGAGAGTCCTAGTGCGACTACTTTAGGATTAAGGTAACGGTGCCAAGACTAATTTCCTTTTTATTGTTTCGCAAGCCGTCAGTTTTGATGTTAAGATTTCACTTACAGTGCGCAGTTAAATAAGATAGATATTACACAACTGAGGGTATGCGCTTTGGATTTTTAATTAATTTTAACTGGTAAATTTAATCTATTAAGATAATTTTCAAAAGTGTATTTATAAATATTCATTTTAACCTTAATAAACCAAGATTTTTGTTCTTCGTTTGTAGCGTCTTTTCAGTCTGTGGGATTGTAAAGGGGTCTAAGCCTTGTTATCCAGAAGACAAATTTAACATATTGTTTGGTCTATAGGGCCGCACAGAGAGATGCCAGTAACTTCTATAGAATAGTTTCTTAGAAGATTAACGTCTAGAGGGCGTGTGCCTTATTGACGAGCTTATAAACTCAAAAGAAAATTTTAAACAGTCCTCATTCCGAACCAAAATTTTATTATTTTTAACGATATTCGATTCTTATTTCCGATAGTTAAATTTCTCGACTAAATCCGTTATTGACTTTAAAATTTAATTGCTAATAACCTCGGTCATTGAGACTGCCACTTGGTTAATTATCAATTTTTCTGGACTAGTAGACGTTGCAGGTAAATATTTGCGGGCATATTTATTCCTAGTATACTAGGACAGTCTCCTATGTTTTACTTGTCCTCAGTTTTCTCTACCTTTCTAAGGGCAGCATTTTCAGGGTGAAAATGCATCCTCTATAACTAGCAATGTGAACGCCCTTACAGCATGCAGCTTAGCTTTTCCACTATATTTTAGGGCATAATTTCGTGGCATGATCTGCACCGCACTTTACACATTAGCAGTTGGAGGAGGAAAATTTTTCGTTATGCTCATATAATTAGCAACTAAAGCTCCGCCAAATTCTACCGATGCTTCAAAAGGTTTACAAATACTGTTATGTAGCCTCTATTTTCGAGGTTATATATACTTTTCTCAGATTGAAGTAGTTTAAAAGAAAAAAAGAGTGATATCTAACTTTGCTTAATATATACATCGTCTAGCTCAATAAAGACGCCACGAAAGACCACCTTCCTCTTTTTTTTGTAGAATGTAACTAAGAAGTATGAGATATATACCCATAGGTGTTCAAATAGGGCTGTAAGTTTTTCTAAAATGTTTTTAGGGGGGACCCATTACATTAAATATGTGTGTCGCGTTTTTAGCAAAGTTAGTACAAATATTGTTAGCTTTAAGTTGTGATTATAAAAATTTTAAAATTGAATGTTTACGAAGAATTATGGGTAACAGGGGGATTCGAAACTTAACCCTGTCATAACCCTAACCTTATCACTATCATTATAATCATTACTAGCATTACTATAACTATTATAATCACTACTATTACTACAACTTTAACATTGTTATAACTTTTTATTATCATTATTGTTAGTCCTGTTACTACTTAGTGAAGTACTAATTTTATTACTAGCATTAGCACAATCAGTAAGTTTATTTTTGAAAAATCTTGGTCGGTACACATAGCTTTTGGGTAGTTCATTCGTTTTTTTAAGGCCTTGCTCTGTAATAAGTTCTCTTTTTTTCCTTAGTTTCGCGATGATTTTGTTTGCAAATCCATTTTATTAGCAGATCTTTAGTGCCTAATAAATGAGCTACCATTTCTTGGGGGTAGCCTCTTTATACTCTTCCGCAAATAGTGAGGTTAAATATTAATAGCAAACCCTTCGTCAAAAGTGGAAGTACACAGACCGCATTCAAAACTGGAAAGGGGACCGCGCAATCCAAATTAAAAACTTTTTGCTCAGTAAAACTAAGCCTACAACCTTAAAAGCTTGATCTTTAAATATCGTTTTTCTTCAAATACCATCAGGCAAAAAAACTGTTAGAAGAAAATTTACGTAAAATCTTTTCCATTTTTAACCCATACACCAAGGAGGAGATCTCAAACTTGAGCATAACTTATAGCATAGTGGTATGACTAGCTGGCCGGGGTAACATCTTGGAGCACTTGGTAAAGAATAACAACCAATGAACTATAAAAAGAGCCGTGAGTGAACAAAAATTAGAAACCCCCACATCTGCAGCAGTTCACGAACACTTCTCAAATCCTATCCTAGTCTGGGTAAAAACTTTATCAATGATAAAACAGATCACCAACCCACTTGAAAAGGTCTAGATTCTGTATTGTTAATTAGTGCATATTTTCACTACATGAAATGGATAACTTCATCTCATAAATCATCGTGTTTAATTCAGCTATAATAAAAGAGACTAAGTGCCCTGTAAACTTTCTTTATTCTCTAAAATTCAAGCTACTAATATGTAGACAAAAGTTGTAATTTAAGAAAGTTTTTTGCAGACGCCTCTTAAAGTTTTTTCATTTATCCTAATATTATTTATCATTTATCTTCATAGTTTACTTACTCCGAAGAGTGGTTTTTTAGCACATTATACCAACGACACAATAAATTTTAGTAGCTCAAACCTCTTAGACTTGTTACTTATAACATATGCAACTTTGTCTCGATGTACGATAAAGTGGTTCTCCTAGTGGCAAATTTTATTTAAGGTTTCAATGAATTTAGCAATGATAACTGCCACAAAGTGTCTGCAGGAATCAGCTGATAATTTAATTTTCTTTAAAACTTCGATACTTTGAATAAAGGTAAGTTTACAAAAAGCTCGATACGTTAACCACGTATCCAAAACGAAAAGAAGCTTAGTTTTAAAAATAATACATATATTTTTTCTGCTCTGGTCTCCGGATCATACTCTTCTACTATCCATATTAATAGTAAATTACAAATTGTGTTCATAATAGTATCTGGTTATATCTGAAATTTAGCATCGAGATTGTAAAATTAAAGATTTAGTGTGTTACCTTCTGACATTGCAATAATAGTATTTAAAGTATTAGTAGTAGTTGTGATTGTGTATTAACCCACTTTCATGGTTAAAGTTATTTCCATATTGTATTCTTGGCGGAACAAATGCCTTTTACCCTCACAAAGAGGAAATGCTGATTACGCGGTTTAAGATAGTTTTTTTTCTTTCGACTGTAGTGTAACAATGTCATTAATAGAAACTTTTTTAAGTTTGAAATAGCACTGGAATATTTGAATGTTACGACCAAATTGGAAATTTATACGAAAGAAGTGCGAAGCGGTGGGACTAGTAAGCTAGCTTTTCCTTAAGCAATGCCTTGTTTATGTGAAGTTACTCTTAAATATTTTCTATAAGGAAGAACTGGAGGAAGAGGTGAAGAGAGTGCCTTATAACGGTGAAATAAAAAGCCCAAGCGATACAAATACCAATACTTCTACAACTTTATTAAAAGCTTGCTCGGTGAATGAAAGTGATTTACCGAATAGTTGTGACTCGATAAGTAATAGCGAAGTTAAAGCCAGCCAATTTACTTCCACATACGGTGATAACGGAGCTTACTGTGACTTCGATAGCTGTCAAAAAAAGTTTTTTTCTTCGCTACCTTTGTTTGAAGCTCACTACTATAGGTAAAAAATACTATAGTTTACTGAAAAAAGTTATAAATTAAATAATCTATCTTCCACTCTTTAAAAGGCGTTTTAACTGAAGATTTTTTTATAAATAAAACTAGTTTAGTTCTAGTCTTTAGAAGTTTTTTGGTGTCACCACCATTCGGCAGCTCTACATGTTAACCAAGATTTTATTATTTTTTGGCTTCCTTGGTTCTCTTGCTTGAGTTTTTACTTTAACCTGCAGCTTACACAAAGATGTTTGCCAGACTTGTAAAGCAGTGTTTATAACGCAGAAATACTTAAATATGCACATCAACGAAGAACACGATCCCTTCTTTAGAATACATACAAGTAAAAAGTCAATGGTATTAAATTTCTGGAAAAATGATTTTAATATATAGCTCATTTTATTTCTAGTATGAGTGTTTCGTTGAAGGTTGTCCAAAAAAGTTTTTTAATTGTAAATATCGTTCAAAGCATCTGCTTGACGAACACCAGTATCCTGCAAATTTTGAACTAAATAGCTTTGCAATACACATTCCAAAAAAAGGAAAATCAAAATTAAAAGTTGCAATGGACTCAAGCAATCAGCTATCGATGTTGGAAGAAAGTCTGTTCGCTGAAGAAAAGGAACAGAAGATGGAAGTTGACGAAGTTATCAGCGCTGTTAGCAATTTATCGCTACCAAAAGAAGTGTATTTCGGAAATAAACAGAAACTTGTGCCTCGCGCAGTGAGAAGTAAAGATAATAGAGGTAATGTTTAGAAAAAATAAATTAACACTTATCTTAAGATCTTCTCCTCCACTCTTTTAATTATCAACTTATGTTTTAAAAAACTCATATAACTTGAGGCATATAATCTAACATCGTACACTAATTTTATTTCTATACAATAAATCCTCACCGCCATAAAAAATTAAATAAAATTTAATTCTGACAGGCTTCCAGAAGCCTGTTTATAAGATCAGTTTTCGTTCCTTGCGTAGACAAGTCGCGCTTTTTCAACTCCTCTTTAAGTTTTTGGGGTTTCATTTTCTTTATTTCTAATGCAGAATAGGTAATAATTTCTTCTTGAGTTACTCCCGCATCTGTTACAAAGAACATAAATAACTTAATTTTTACTAAAAAACAATAAAAAAAATCTACTCAAAGCGGCGTGCTGGGCCTCCGCGTTCGTGTCTTCGTCTGCTTTTTTCCTAGTCAATGAAGCGAGTTCTCTTCTTTTTCTAACTTCAGCTAAAATAAACAGAATTGCATAAGACAAAAGTTTTTTAAAAATATAAAGAATTAAAAGCCTATGAAGTACCGAGACGGGCTAAATCTTTTTTAGATTGTTCAGTTTTTCCAGCTGCCACAGCTTCTAAATAGCGCTTTCTAAAATTTATATTAATTATTAACTGTAAATTTTGAAAATATACTTCTTGAAAAACCTAGCTTTTATTTTTTCCAGTTTCTCTAATTCACTCCTGCTCAAACTAATCTCGGATTGTAAAAGTGAATTGTGATTTGGGTTTTCATAGCCTTATAAGTGTAATAATTACAAACACTTAACTTTATTAAAAAAGCTTTTTGATGTAACTTACCAGGTGAGTATGGATCCTTAATAGCAGCCTTACATTGTTTATTTGATGAGACTACCTTATTTGAGTTAACTAAGTGCTGGTTATTCAATTTATCAGAATCCTCTTGACCCCCTTCAGAGCTTTCTGAGGATTCCTCGGACTCAGAAAGTTCTATATCTCCAAACTTGTTTTTAATATACTCTTCCTCTTCTGCTGTCAGTTCGACACTACTCAAGGCATTTGCTACAAATTTTAATGTGAGATACTATAATATCTTTCTAAATTATTATTAATACAAACAAAGCTATAACTACCTTGAGTTTTTCCTCCTTTATAACGGGTGTTGTTAGCTCTGATGGTTTTTCCAGTTTTGTAGTTCTTTCCTCCTTTTCCACGCATTTAAAAAAAATATTAAAGAAGAAAGGGAAAAAAACCAATATACTTTTGACTTAAGCAAAATTTTCAAGTAGAAAATTACGTTTTCATTAATTAACTGATAAAGTACTCTGTATTAGGAACTTCCCAGAACTGTGTCAAATAGTATGTGTTGGTGCACGCGCTCAAGTAGAGCTGTGTAACGATTTTTAAGGGCTTCATAAGAGCCTGAAGTAAAGAGGGTGAAAAGTTATTATTCCAACCTCTTCGGTTCATTGTACAGCTTATTAAAAATTTTAATTTTCTACACAAATTACAAAGGGTACTTTAGAGGATATGCTCACTCAATAATTAGTATATTCTCCTTTAGCCGTACCCTGGCAATAGCGTTTTGCTTCTATATAAATTTCTAGGCCTTTCACTGAGGCTTTACTTGTTTTTATAATTACTTTAAGAATCTTGAGTGGCAAAATCAAACTAATAAGCTGATTAAAATTTTACTAAGGCGAGGCGTTTTGGTATAATAACAACTTTGCCTGTCCTTATTTAAATGGATGTCGACTCGTTAAGAGGCTAGCAAATTAAATTCGGACTCGCACGTATGTAAAAGTATGCCGACGGCGTACGTTGTCTCGTATAACAAAGGAAATTTCAAAGATTTTTTTTTTAGATTGACTTATCCCTAGTTTATTCGCTATCAAATGTTAAACAAATTCCTTTAACGTGCAATATCTCGCTTTTATATAATAACTTTACACAAGTTGTATAAATCATAGGGTAACTTCTCCCTACTGCGACAAAATTTTCGCCTTTTACTAAGGATTCCGAGCCAAAGGTCGCTTACTAATTTAAGGTTCCTCTCTTTGGAGGGTAGGGCTTCACGCAGGTGTTCGGAGGCGCTTACTACTCCCAGCGGATTGTAGTATATGTAAGGGAGTGGACTCCTCTTTTTTTTTTGTCGCTGTTATTAAATCCAACACGCTTAAATGCTAAAATATCTTCACTATTAAATTATATTCGACAATTATAAATGCAATCATTATTCAGTTACTGTCAAAGTTAAGATAGCTTTGTGGCGAAGTTAATTCGCAGGCGGCTGTGATGTATAACTTTCTAAGACATTTATACCGGGACACGCAGTTAGAATATTTATATATGGGTACATAGTCCCGCCTGAAGTTTGAATCGATAACCCACTAAACCGTTAAGGTGTTCCTACTTAAATTTAGATATAACAAAGCATAGCGTTAATCCTTTAAATGAAATATTTACTTAAAAAACTTTAAGATTCTGTAAACTCGATTGAGCACCAAGAAATGCCATACAAAAATGTTAGTTCACGCTTTTGTTTAAACTTTTTGTTAGTATAATTTGTTTTCCTATATATGGTCATAGATTTTGAGTTATGTAAAAACTCTTGAAACCTTGCTCTCTTCAACTGCTGTTCAGCTCGGTTTCCTAATACTTAAAAGCGCTTTAGCCTAGCTATCGTGAAGTTTAGCTCCTCATATATAAAAATAACCCATTTATAAAAATTATGACTTCGCATTTCGCAACTAAACTAAAGTTACAAATCAAACGCAGCCTTAAAAGGACATTTACAGTATTATTTTTTTATACATTTAATTGTTATTTTGTAAATATGCAAAGGTAGAGAAAATTGAAAGTGATAAGTGATGAGCAGTATTGAAAAAATCAGAGCGAGTGGCTTATATAAGAATAAGTACAACCGTGATGCCATAACAAAGAAATTTTTTAAGCAGTTTTCCTAAAGTTAATTTTTTTTCACTAACTTCTGAAGTACTGTTAAGCATAAAACTTTATAACAGATGTAATAACTTTTTTTTTTAAATTTTATTATTTGTGTCGCTGATATCAAAGCCAGGCATCTCAAACTTCGAAGCAAACGCTTCTACTGCAGTCTTAAGAGCATTAAGTTTCGGATTATTCTCTAAAGCTTTAAGAAAACATGGCAATGCTTTCCCAGTTTCAACCTATGAAAATTGATAAATAAAATTTAGACGTCACAAAAAAGTCCTTGACGTCTGTGATAATTAGTGTACCGACAAAAATAATATACTACATCCGAATTTAAATCCAATAAACAACACCTGAATTTCCAAACAGAGATGGACAGCGCGGTGCAAAAACTCAGCCACTTCAACAAAATCAGTCTCTTTGAAGCCCCTCGATGTCAAGGCTGGCGTGCCTATACGCACTCCCCCTGCGGGCGTAGAGAGTGAGCGATCCCCAATGACAGCCGCACCCACCTACCAGGCGATAACGCGCTCGTGTCTTTCGGTACCGAATTCTTGTTCAAGGAGATGCTCACTTTCTCGCAGAGCTTCTCGAGTTTACTTCCAGTGAGACCTCAAAGGACTGTAAACCCCTCCGATGGAGAATTTTGTTAGGGATTCTACTGCACCAAGAGGCCGCAAATCCCACAGAATGCAGTGGTTATCCGTCCCTCCCGTCACTAGTCTATAGCCCAAGCTTATTAGAGAGTTGGCCAGCTGAAAAAAAATAATTTAAAAAATGCTCGCTATACCGGTTTATATAAAGGTGTGTACCGCCACGGCATTCTTCTTAACCTGCACAATATAATCTTTAAATTCAGGTAAAGAAACTTGCTTCATCGCTACAGCGATCGAAGCAATTTGGTGGTTGTGGGGACCTCCCTACGGTAAATCGTATAAACGCGAAAAGAACTCTAAGCAACGGAAGTGCTCACTAGCCTGACACGAAGGAAACACCGCAAAATTAATTCGAGATTCTAAATCAGAGAGAAATTTTTCAGTTTCAGAAACAGGCTTTCGGTAGAAAATAATTCCTTAAAAAAAATTAAAAATTGGTGCCTCACTTTCAGGATGACTCCAAAATTCTCTCAACGAAACGGAAAAAATACAATTTAGAAAGTAATATTCCTTGTAAGTATTATGAAAAGTAGACCGGCTCGCGGTCCCCGGAGAGTTTTGTGAGTAGTGGAGGTGATCACATCGCAGTAGTCAAAAGGATTATTGGCCTGCTTAGCTGCAATAAGGCCGGAAGTGTGAGCCATATCCATGACTAAGTAAGCCTCGTGCCGATCCGCAATCTTTAGATGAATTGATTAATAGTAAATATAGAAACAATAAAGAAGAAACTTTTCGGAAGCGCTGAAAATCCCAATCTCGAGGATAAGCACTTGCTCCGCAGATGATGAGATTAGGTCGAAATAAATCCGCCGATTCTTCCAGTTTATTATAATCAATTAAACCAGTTTTCTATTATAAGCGAGAGCTGTTTAGTTTTAAAAGGCAGAAGTAATCCTATTAAATTGAGAAAAATTAATTATTTATTAAAGTGAAGAAAAAGGGTAGTGCAAAACTCTTATAATAGATTATTTAGGCTAAAAAATTAAATTTTCTTACAACAAATTCTCGACAAATGCAATGCCTGCCTTGCTTATTTAAAAAATTACGCAAAAAGCAGGGCTCCGTGTTATGTGCATTTAACATAATTGAGGCGGTGTTATAAAAAATTCGAAATACAATTAATTAAAGGCTTCTCAAAGTAAAAAAAGGTTTAACTTAAACGTATTTTAATATAAATGATAGATAACAGAGCTTTTATTATTTTTCTTAATTGTAAACATTTTTTAAGAGTCTAGTAAAAATATATATATAAACATGACAAAATGCTACGAATGCAAAAGACATAAATAAATTAAATAAATTGAATAAAACCACGAAAAAACTTAAGCTATAAAAAATATGCTTTTAATATTCATTTCATATTAGTTCAATCGAGATTTTGTTGTATAAGCGAAATGTGGTTATTTTTTTAGAATTTAAGTTTAAAATTATGTAATTTTTATTATGTATAATCTTTTTGGTCATTTCTAATTTTTTTATACTGTAATAAAAAAAAATAGAAACTGTAATAGAAACTGTAATAATAATGAGGTACAGGATCGGTTTGGTAGGGCATGGAGGTAAAGTAAATGGAAGACGAAGAAATCTTTTTTTTAGAAGTCTGAAATCCATGAGAAAGACTGTAATCGATAATATAATCAGAAAAAAGTATACAACTATATTTCTATCAGAAATACTGGCCGCCGTGGGGAAGATCGAGACCCATCAATCTATCAAATGGTTTTAGAAGCGCAGTATACACGGAAAAGTTTGCGGTGCTCCCGGAATAGGACTGAACGTTAACACCCCACTTAGAGGGATCCAGTTCAAAAGCTTCTAAACAACGTTTCTTACACAAATTTTCAATTTCATCTATCACTTCATTGCCTCCATAGTAACGCATTCCCGGAAGTCCTTAATTAACAAGCAATATTATTTTCGAGGGTAAGAGGAAATTTGTTTAATACACCAGCTACAAATAAAAAACTTGTAAGATAACCTTCAGAATATTTATTAGTGAGAACAGAGCCGAGAGCTTCTAAACAAGCTCGAGAAGTAAAGTTTTCAGAAGCGATAAGTTCAAGGCTGTAAAACTGACGTTTCTTTTCGAGCTCTATTAGATCATAAATTTCTGGATCACAACTTTCAAGTGAATCACATAAGAAATTAGATAGCCTGCGGGACATGCTTATACGTGCGAGCATGATAAAAGCTTTGCACAATACAACTAACACTTGAAATGAAGCTTGTACGGCTATAAGGTCTCGCCGCTGGAAAAGTGCAACTAGTCGTACCAGTGCTTTCCTATATTGCGCATTGCACGACGGCGGTGGTATACCAAATACCAAATATCTTTGAATGGGTTTGGGCTCGAATAAGTTGAATAATATCTTTTTAAGTTACATTACTCAGTAAATTGTTTTTTTTTTATAATAAATTGTATAAAAACTTTAGAGTTATAAAAACTATTTATGAACATTAAAATTTTCATAAAAACTAATTTTCGAGACTCTATCTATAGATCCAAAGGAATCGAAAAAAACAAAGTTATTTAATACAAGTATCAACCTTAAGAAAGTAATTATTTTTTATCTTTATTTGGAAAAATAACTACTTTTTTTAAACAACAATAATAATAACTGAATTGACTACACTCTTTACAGAGAGGCATCACCGAAACTCTAACTCCGCGTAAACCCAAGATCGCGTTTTGTTTCTCGCACAATTCTCTTTTCCTAGTCTTAGTAGATAACTTATTTAAAAGCTTTAAGAGTAAAAAGCTCATTATAAAAGAGGTTAGGTAATTAATTTAATTAAAATTACATGAATTAATATGTGAAGTTATTAGAAGCGCGCCCTTTTAATTCTTAATACTATAAATGTTTGGGGTAAGCTCTCAAATTGCTTTTGTTAGCTATAAATCGCCAACTAGGAGTGGGCTTGTTAGTAGCTATAAATACTTTGTAATTTGCATTGTTAAACAAGAAGAGTGTTAAGCGGTGTAAGAATCTATTTGCTTATAAAGCGGTAAGTTCAAACTACCTGGTGATTAACTAGATGAGGTAATTAGATAAGTAAAAAAAAACCTAGTCAGAGGGGCACTCACTCAGCCTCCTCCCCCTCCCCCGACGTGACACAATGCCCAAATTCATAGTGACTGCAGTTCGAGACAGTTAAGGCTTTGATCTTAAAAATAGCGACTAAATGGTATAAGGAGTAACAACGCGCATTCCGATAGCTTTATTAGCTCCTGCTGTTAGTTATAATCCAGCCTGCTACAACAGATATAAAAGAGTTAAACCACTATTATGGCCGCTTCCTTTAAACCTTGGTTTACCACTTTGATTATTTGTAGTTAATTAATTAAGATTAGAACTGAATTCAAAGTAATATTTTATTATACTTTCATTTATATATTTTGAAATATAACGTAAATATATATATTTATAGAATTCATAATCATATAATTAAACATTTTTTACTTAAATAATTTACTTATTATTTTATTTCAATTTTTTATTAAATTTTTTTATTTTTTATACTAGTTTATATAATATATTTTTGTTGTCATGTTTTTAAACTTTCTCGTATGATTTGTTTACGGAATAGTACACGAACTGTCTAAACTACGACTCTTTAAGAAATGTTGGTCCTTTTTTACCTCTAACGGTTTAGGGGGAAGCTGCGCTGCGCGTACCGACTGTAGTATGTCAGTATGACATAAATAACTTGGATAGCGTTTAAAATTTAACCACCTTGCAGTAAGGAATCAAAATTTGAGAAATTGAAGGTAACACATTTTTTTATTGTCTTTCAGGTACCTTTTAAATTAATTTCATATAGCTTAGTCTAGAGGTTAAATAAGTAAATACTTACTTAATTAGTTTTACTAGATATTTTAAATAGATTAGGAAAACTTTATTCAAATAAAAAAAAAAAAGCTTTCTTTTTCTTTTTGCGTTACTCCTTACCGGGGCGCCCTTCCTTTTGCGTTCTACAGTATCACTGCTTAAGTTATTTATCGCGTAACGATGCGGCCACCGTCATTGCGCTGGCCAGCGACATCTGAGGATTAGCGTTTTACCCTTATTTAAGCTACTAGGCGTTGGTACCAGCTTAAGGTAAGTTAGATTGGTGATATCTGGAGGCACGAAATTTTTAGTGAGACCACTCATTTTTTAAAAACTTGTTATAAAAGCTAGGTAATTTGGTCATGACACAGAGCCTTTTACTTTTTATTAGGGGTAAAAAGTGTTGTTGTGTTGAATAACCTTAAAGCCTCTTAATTTAAATAACACGGTTAAGCGGAGACTTCCTTTCAAGATTTAATCGATTGGTGTGCTGACCGAGCCGATCGTAAAGGCGATAGCATTGCGTCGAAAAACGTTACCCAGAGGTTCAAGCTGAAGGTCTTTATGTAAGGCATCGTTAAGAACAAATCACGGCACGCCATCGTAAGTCGTCTCACTTAGAGCGAAGGGACTACTAGGATGCACAACAAATACAAGCGTCGTTTGTTGTGCAGCGAGAGTTTGTTTCGGGAACAAAGTAAAAGGTAAAGAGTTTGAATTACCGCCTTGACATTCGCCGCGATATAGTTTACGTGCGGAGCAACTGGCGCTCTAGCCAAATGCCAGACAGCGGTGGTACTTGCCAACTCGATTACTCTTTTGGAGCTCTTTTACCCTAATCTGAAGATAGAAAATCCTCTTTAACTCCAACTTTTGTCGATCACGCCTCTGTAATAGATGTATGTCGAGCTTGGCGATTCTATATATTAAATTTTTATGTGAGCGCAAGACTTGTGTTCGTTCCCTTTTTTTATGGGGCGTTCACTTCATGGCGTCGTGAAAATTGATACAAAGGTTAAACCCTTTTTAGCAAAGGGCAAGCCGTTATGTTTAAGCTTAAGAGTATAAGCTTAGCACCTTCTACTATTGTTAACAACTCTACTGGTAATGTTGCTGCGTATGCCGAGTGTAGGAGTATATTTGCTGTAACACAAAGAAATAATTTTTCTACCTTGAAACTAATGGCTCGCTTTCTTCCAGCTCGTCTTTTGGCCGTTCCAGTAGTTGTGGTGATTACATTGACTGTAGTAGTGTTTTTGGGTTTTCATATTATTAGTTTTTCCATAAAATATCAATCTTACTTTTAACTATATAAATGTAATACTACACATTGATATATTTAAATATATAGGGTGCTGCAATAGCTGAAAGCTATGAGCACTTTAGAAATAATTTTTCTTTGCCCGACTTAGGAATAGGAACTTTTCACCAGAATGTTAAAGATGGTAAATAACTGTTCAACACTGTAAACGACAAAACTTTTAATTTTGTATTTTAGGAACTTCTTCAATGTTTTCTTACATCCTTGGTAATTTAGTTGAAAAAAACATACCTAAAAAGAGTCCTTCTGCTTCAGAAACCGGGTCTGAGATATCACCAGATCACCGGAAACCTGACGATATTGTGTTACCTGCATCTTCAGATTCAAAGGAAAAAGTTAATAACTCAGCTGATTCTGAAAGCAAAAAGGGTTAGGATTTATATATCTGACCGAAGATGCAGTATAAAAAGATTTTTTTTAAAAAGTTAATGAACTTGAACAAAAAGTTTTTGAACTTAAGCAACAGTTAGAGGATCTTAACTTTAAGCATCAAAAAGAATTCTTAGAAGAACGTTCGAGGTTAGAGGTGGTTATTCTATTTATTAACGTTACCTTTGCCAGCTTATTTACTTTACTATTCCTTTTAAGACAATCATTAAGAAACTTGAAGATGATAACGAAAAGCTTCGAACTAGTTACTTGCTATTGTTTAACGAAGTTGAAAGAGGAGATCGTGCCACAAAAAACTCCCAAAAGGTTTGAAACTAATCTTATCCGTTTTATAAAAGGGTTTAATTTTCTATAAGTCTCTTGTAGAATCGTATTCAGAAGTTTTAGATCTCTTGTCGAAGTATTACAAAAGGTTTGAAATGGCCGATACTCTTCCCAGAGTTGTCGTTGTTGGCGATCAAAGTTCTGGTGCTTTTTTTTTTTGGAGTGTTTGAGTTTTTTTATAAGAATTTTTTATTAAAAAATAACAATTCTTATTACTTAACGAGGTAAAACGAGTGTTCTGGAGATGTTAGCACAGACAAGAATGTTTCCGCGGGGCGCGGGGGAAATGATGACCCGAACGCCCGTGCAGGTGACTCTTTACGAGGGCCCCTCCCGCGTCGCTTGCTTTGCCGATTCAGACAGGATTTTTAATCTGACTTCAGAAGAAGAGGTTCTTGTCAATTTTTAATTTCCTGCGTCTTAGTTAACCACAGTTTCTCCAGTTAACAGAGCTTCGCAGGGAAATCTACAACCGCATGCAGCGCGCTGTTAAGGAGGAGGAGACGGTCAGCGCTGCCACCATCTCTCTATATGTCCAGGGTCAGTAGTGCTCCAGCCTCCTTCAAGGCTCTCCGGCTAACCCCCCCCCCCTCTCCCCCGTACAGGACCTGGTCTTCCCCGGATGGTCCTCGTGGATCTACCAGGAATCATTAATGTGTGGTTTGTTCTTACTGGGCGAAACACAAGGGCGCCTCACTCGTGGTCTGGTTAGCACGTGACTACAGGGATGGCCGAGGGCACTAAAGAAACTATCTGGGACATGTCAAGGCGGCAGATGGCCAACCCGAACGCCATCATTCTGTGCATCCAAGTAAGTCTCCGCAGTAACTTCCGCTGCTCGTCTTTCCCTAGCACTCCAGCCCCTCTAGGATGGATCAGTAGATGCCGAGCGCAGTAGCGTGTCTGACCTCGTCTCCTCTGTAGACCCCACCGGAAGCCGCACGGTGTTTGTACTGATTCACTGCGGCTGAACCTTTTCGTGGGTCTTCCCGCGTTGCGTTTGCTGCAGGTTCTGACCAAGCTGGATGTTGCTGAAGCGAATAACATTGGCTCCCAGCGGATCAAGTCGGTAATGGAAGGGAAACTCTTCCGCATGAATGCTTTGGGTTGTCACCTCTTACAAGTTCCGCTTCCTTCGCCTTGTGGGGCTCACCTCCAGTGGCAGGGTACTTCGCCGTGATTGCCGGTAAGGGCAACGGGCAAGAGTCCATTGAGGAGATACGGCAATACGAGGAAGAGTACTTTAGGAATTCCCGACTGTTCCGCGAAGGCGCACTGAGTCCTCACCAGACTTCTCTGACCAATCTTTCCCGGGCGGTTTCGAGGGCATGTGCTTGTTTGTTCCAGAGCGTCTACTCGTTTCTAACTCGTTTTTAAAGGAGTTCTGGAGGCTCGTAAAGGAGACGGTGGCAGACCACTTCGAACAGCTGAAGGCCGATTTAACTAAAAAGGAAACGGAATGGAGAAACTCTTTCAAGGGTCGCCCCATGTCGCGGGTTTCTATTTGATTGCCTTTGTAGCGTGAAGCTGAGTCGAATATCAACCACAAGGACGAGCTGTTTCAGCTAGGAAAGCACGTAATCTTGGAGAGCATAGACAAGTTTAACAGCATTGGCGCTAAAAGCTGGTCTTTACCATCAATACTTATTTAAGACGGGCGGTCACCTAAGCACGTGCAGGGAAAACATCCTCTATGAAAGGATCTGGTGCGATATTTCCGGCCACCTTATCGACAACATATACATGCAGGCAGCTAAGCACTTTTGCCCCAATGGTTGGTCTCTCCAGCTTGTCCTCTGCGACGACTTTTCAGGGCGTAATTCTCTGCTCTTCCCTTTGAAGAGTTTAGGACTCGCGTAGATGTTGAACTTCTCGACTGGGCTCGCCGTAGTTTGACTTCTTCCTGCATAGCCGCCTCTAGAGACATGTTTATCCGGGAATTCGAAAACTTTATTATGGTTTTTCGGGCTTATTTAAGCGATCATCGCACACTTGACCTCTACCACCCCCTCGCAGAACACATCAGTCGACTCCTCGAACGATCTTGAGCCTCTTTTCAAGGGTATGAAAGAGAAAATAGTAGCTAACCGGCGTCAGCAAGGGGCATGGCTGACAGCTGTTTCTGACAACCTCGTATGAATCCACCCTGCATACGTTGACCCGCATAAGATCTGATTACTTCTGATCTCACAGCGAGTCATTCAGTTAACAGCACTCGCGGACGATGAAATCTGTGACGAGGCTGATTGGCGGAATTCATGCGTTTTCATGGAGCATCGGCTCACGGAGAGGTCAATATGGTGAAACTGTCTTCCGTCTTGGTCTTTTGAACCACATGATGGCTAGAAAGAAGGTATTGGACGAGCAGTACCGCAAATACTTTGGGCCAGAGTTTTGGGAACAGCTATTCTACTGGCGTAGCCGAGACGAGTTGCAGGCCCGCCGAGCTGCTATTCGGCATGAGCTGAGAGACTATTTTGCTACTGGAGTGCGTTTTCGTCTATAATTCTATTATACTGGCACCCACATGCGCTCTTGTGCATAGCAACCCGTCGAAGAGCTGAGCAGTGACGATATTATCGGCATCCGATCGAATATCACACGAGCCCGATCACTCGAGGTTGATGACGAAATGATTAAGGAAGTCTACCGCGTGCTTTTCACGAATTACTTTTTTAAAAGTAGCATTGCGGCCAGTCGCTTTTGCAAGGTCCCGGCAGCTACTTTTTTACTCGCCTGTTTATTTAATATTGTTTTAAAAGAATGCTTATCATTTTCATGATGCGGAATTGGCTTATGCTCCCAATAAGTTGGAGTGTCAGGTATTGAGTAGCAGTTAAAATTATTTACTTATCTGTACTCTGATACTTTATACCTGTAAAGGATATTATCATGTTTTGGCGGATTCAAGAAATGCTTAAAATAACTTCTAAAACTTTGAGGCAGCAGATACTAATGCAAAAAGGTTTATTATGCTTCGTTTATTAATATGGCAACCTGCTAAATGTTTCGACAACGAGCAGCTCATCTTGAACAGGAAGTTAAAGATGAGCTGGAGACCTATACCCTTAGCGATTCTGTCAAAAAAGAGTTAATTAGAGGAAAGAGAGTAGAACTGGCGGAGGAAATTGAAATTGCACGCGTCATAAAAAATAAACTCGAAAACTTCATTTTCCAGTTAAAAACACAGTCATCGAACTTAAAAGAATTGTAGTACACCTTACCCACAACTGATCTAGGGGGCGATCTTTTATGATTGACATTATATTCGTATAGAAAGCGGAAACTTTTATATTAATAAAGATTTATTAAACTAGAAGCAAAAATTCTTATAACCAGTTTAGTGTTTGATTAGCGTGACCAATCTCCCCATCAAAGTTATGAAGTTAAAAATATTTTGATCTCACCATAATTACTTATATAGTTATTATTATTATTGAGAACATATCTAGAATTTTCGTAATATTTTGTTAATAGCAATCACTATAATTATTTCTGCCAGTAAGATTGAATCAGCTTGTAAATCTCGTTGTGTTTTAAAGGAGGGGGGCATTAGTATTGAAAAGAGAAGGAATTAGTTGTAGTTAGGACAATATACCGGAAGTTACCTAGGAAAGGTGTTAAAAGAGAATAGTAATCAGATAATATAATTTCTTTTATAAAAAGGAAAACCTCGTTTCAGTTAAGGACTTACATAATAGTCTCATGTATGTATCTCAACGTCAATCTCGCCAAAACAACAGTTAACTTAATAAAATACTTGTATGAGGGTGAAATATAAAGTTCGACTAGTTAAGAATAGAAACGGTGTCAGTTGTACACAGTGTCTTTATAAGAGAGCTCCTTTATTTTAATATTAGTACTATAGAAATCTTTATTTGGCGCAATATTAGCGTATACTCCTATAATAAGACTCGCTTGCATTGTAAACCTTGCAGAAAAGTAGATGTGCAAATCATGAAGTAGCGGTACCATATACCACCGTTGCCGCTATTTTTTTAAAAAATATTCCCCCCCACCTTAGTGCACCCAGCGAAATATTGGGGGTGACTATTGACAATAAACTTTCAAACTCTGTAACGGAGAAGTCCAGGCAGATCCTTACATCGTGCTAGAAGCAAAATCTCAATGCGCAGTAAGCGACGCTAGTAAGTGTTGTTAATCCAAACATTCATGATATGACGTGTCCGCTGCCTAAAACTACAATGTTGTTCTCGCTTCAAGAGAGACAACAAACTTCTAAGTGTAAGGAGGGGCGTGCGTTGTGGTTTGTTCTAAACGATGCTTAAATGATGCCAACCTTCGGCTCGCTAAGACTTTTTAAATGACACGGGGCTTCCTCCATCTCCGACCTCCCCCCCACTCACTGCAGTGCCGTACACACCGGTGAATCGCGTGCGTGGCTACTGTGTTGGGTGCTGTACTATATCTCGCATTCTGGCGCCAAAAAAACTAATCTGGACACTTTCCATATTAACCCCTTATAGGTTACTAGTTACTATGTTTACCACTCTTTGCCTAGGTCCAAAGTAGTGATTTCACAGAAAAAAAACAAATCTCTTTAAGCTCCAGAGTTTTGCCAATTAAAGGGTTAACTAACATTAACAGATACCTAGTAGCGCACTTGTAGTTCCATGATGAGTCTAAATAAGCCGTCTACTCCAGCTGGGAAAAGAAAGTACCAAGATGATATTGCTCTTTTCGAATTTAACATCGAATGGCAGCAGCAGTGTTTGTTTACAAAAGGTTATGGTCCTAAGCCATTACAACCCATTTGTAACTGTAAAACCTTGCCAAAAATATTTAACTTAGAGCGGTATTTTAATTAAATGCATTTCTATTTCAATGCAAAGTATTCCATATATTCAGAGTAAAGAGCAAAATTCTTAAACAAAATAAAAAAATCTGTCTAATCAACTTCTTTTTCAAGAAGGCTAGTACTCAGCAAGAAACCATGGTCAAAGTATCTTATGAAGTGTTACTTCTTCTTGCTAAGAAATAAAAAGTTCATTCTACAGCTGAAGAAATAGTGAAACCATGTTTAAATTTTATTGCTTAAACCGTAGCAGATCCAAAAAATCAAAAATGGGTGCCCTTTCAAAATATACTATTACGAAGGAAATCGAAGAAATGGCAGACGATATTGACAAACAAACACTTCGACGTATGACCGCGCGCTCCTACATTTCTCTTGCTTTGGAAGAGAGCTGCGATGAAACTGACACTGCACAACAGTGCATTTATGCGTTGTGTCAGCGCACTATCCGACATAACAGGAGAATTCTAGATATGCGGCACCAAATTTTTAGTAAAAAAGGTTTTCGCGGAATTAAAGATGTAATCGATAATCGTCAAATAAACTGGGACAAACTAGACAATGTTTGTACTAATAGAGCTCCGGCACTGACCGGGTAGGTAAAAGGTTTTGTAAGTTAGTTGGAAGGATTTTTATAACGTTAAGTTTTTAAATACCACTGCATTATTCACCAAGAAGCCAAGGATATGAACTTTGTTCTGTTCTTAATCCTGTGATGCGATGTGTCAACCACTTTCTAGCCAGGGCTCTTCATAAAAGGGAATTGCGCCAATTTTTTCTCAAAAAGTCAAATGGAGAAAAAACAGCGTAAATTACTACTACAATGCACTGTTCGTTGGCTATCTCAGGTCAAACTACAGAAAGGTTTTGAAATTTTAAGAAATTTAGTTTTGGGTAACTAGAAGAGAGTGATCGACTCCCGGTGATTGCTCACCCTCTTAGAAACAAAGATTGGTTGTGAAATTTAGCTTTGCGGCAGATATTAAAGCTCATTTAAATAATTTAAAAGAGCGTTCACAAGGCGCAACTAATGTTTTTCCTAACCTTGTTCGGTTAGGTTCAATCTTTTTTTAAATCTTAAATGTAACTTATGGAAAATCATCAGGGTAAAGGTGAACTGCACTATTTTATCCGAATGCAAGTACTAATGACAGAAACAAAATTTAAGACCTCACGAAGTTAAAAAATCAAGTTTCACTCTTTAAACAATCGTTTGAAGAGAAATTTATAGATTTTCAAGAGGATGTGAAAAATGCGCAGCTTTCCACAAACCCTTTTTCAATCATATCTACCAAAATCCAGCTCACCTCCAAGTGGAAGTTTTAGAGATTCTAAATTAAGAGGCGTTGAATGGAAATTTTAAGAAAGCACCTGAAAATCCATCCAGTCAAAAGTTTTCCTCGTTTTGCGCTCGTTACTTTTCTAGATACGAATATTATTAAAAGTATATATTTCGCAGTATTAACCAGCGAACATTTGAAAAATTTCAATCTTCTTGGATCCTCACTAATAGATCCCGGCTTTGGGAAACTGACATAGGTGAAGCAAATTCAAAGGGTTCACTAATCGAGTGCAAGTTTCTTAATATTCTAAACATCGTTGATTTTTTTAAATAAAAAACATAAGTTTACATTTTATTCACAATGCACAGTAACAAAGTGATCTGTGTTTAACAATGTGGTTTTCTAGTAGTTTATAGTAGTAATCCAGTTTAAGGTTAAAAGGTATGACAGCTGGGATAGTATTCTGCTTCATATATTTTATTATATATTTGGCAAAATTTATCTAAAAAAAAAAAGTAGAAACTTGATCCCTGTTACTCAATTTAGATGAAAAAATAGTAGAGTAGGGATATATACGTGTTATATTAAATAGAATGAAAAAGAAATGAAAAAGTGTCACGTTAAAAAATTTAATCAAATTAAGTGGCACTAGAAAAAAAAGGTTAGCCATCTTTGTTTTACATTAAGACCTCTGGCTAAAGTCTCTATTTACCATTTGTTAACACCCATTCTAATACCAACTATAAACGGCTTCGCGCAGTGCACTTTAAATTTGTAATAGGGATTAGGGCCAAAAATAAATTATATGTTTGAAAACTGCTTTGATACAAGCTTAAATCTAACTTGTACGTTACCACCCTCTCATGAGCTCGAAAAAATGGTTTGTTGGCGCGCTCGAGCACTAGAAATCCCATTTATAAAACCCTTCATATTTGTGGCTTCTTAATGCTTGGTGTTGTGCTCCTAAGGAGCCTTTTACTTAATAAGTAAATGTTTGCCATGCCTTGTGTGTTAGATACCCCAAAATTAAAATTTATAGCCTATAATACTTTCATACTGTGCTCTGTTAACTTGTTGTTTATAATATACCAGCCTTCGGGCATAGTCCAGTAAAATATCATCTGCGAATTGCCATTTTTATAATTTAGACAGTGCGAAGGGCGGACACACTTTTTTTAGCTCTGTCAATGACGTAAACTATGTGTTTCTCATTCATTTAGCTTTTGGAGAAAACCATTTAAGTAAACCATAGAGGATTTTTACCGAAGTCAAGGTCGCTTCAGTAGCTGTAACACATAGCACAACGTCTTCGATTCAACAATGTATGCGTGTAGTAAAAAACTGCGGCTTTTTAAGAAGTTTTTTTTTACATAACTTTCTTTCTTCTCGTCTTTACTTCAGTTGAAAAGGATTTATATAAACTCGTTTAGTTAACAGCAAACTCAATAGCTTCTCTCAGACTGGGGGTTAGTTTACTTTTACTCTTTTAATGTTATAATAATGACCACCAAAAAAACAATTTTTTTCCTAAATGGGATTATAATGTAATGTTAGACCCTTTATTGGCCTTTTTGTTCTGGTTTAGCAAAGTAACTCTGTTGCACAGGTCTTAGAGTCTTAAGTATTTTTACTTGCCCTCCTGATCAATACGAGCTATGAAAGTTTTAATAATACTTAAAAAAATTACTCACTATGAGAGCTACAAGGCTTCATAAGTAGTTCTTTCTGGTGTATACATATCTTTATCACGCTTTTTACGTTTTATATTATGTAAATGTTATTACAGCTTGATTTCAATTATATTATTAGTACGGCTTCAGTCAGTTTTATTTACTTTCTCAAGAAATAGTGAAGATGTCAATATTTCTAGCTACACAGGACTATGTTTTAAAAGGAGAGAGCGTGAGAGCGTTTGGTTTATATTAGCTAAGAAGCATATATTTAAATTCAGTTATCTTTGATACGACCTTACATCTATCAATGAGGTACTTCTAATGCTACATATTCAAATAAAACCATAATTATTTTGATACAGTAACTAGCTTTTACATTAACTCTCGACTGAATGTTTCACTATAGTTCGCCTTATAATGGTTTATTCGCTTTTGTTTTTTAGTAAATACGTCTTTCCCTACGACAGTATATGTTTTAAAAGGGGTACGGGGTGGGATATAATTTTTTTGTAATATACGACACTACTCGAGGAGCAAAAAAGTTATCACACAGATCTTCTGAAAAGGAAAACTAATGTTCATATGGTAATATCACCAGCCCGTACTATTACGACTAATTGGTTGAAGAGTTGCCATAATGATACTTAGAAAAATGTTTTATATTTAATAAAGACTATTATACTTTAACAGGTTAGAACCCAATTTAATAACCATCTCCAGACTACTCTTGTTGCTAGTTTTACTATATATTTAATTAACTTATACGCCACTTCTCCAGGGGAGTGCACCTCCTTGGGTTTACTTATTGATTGCTATTTGTTTGTTTTTGTTTACCAAACTCTCGGCGCGGTGAATGGCAATAAAGAGGGAATTAATGTAATCGAAATCAATTTTTCGGCACTCCTTAAAAAATAAGGAAAACAAGCTCTTATAACTAACTCAGCTAGGCCGCTTGGTTTGACTTTTGAACACGGCTGCGACTCCTTTGTTGTTACCGTTGTATTAACAACTGCAGCCAGCGGACAGTTGTATGTGCTTAGTATTTTTATATGCAGGAAGTCTAAATATAAAATTAGCTAAGTTTCTATATATTAAAGGCCTTTCTTGCGGAACGATTTTACTTTGAGCGACTTTAGGTTCGTTCTTATATATTTGTATAGAGCTTATACCCTTAAGGTTATGTTGCTCAGCTCTACCCTTTTTTGAAGCTACTTTTGAAGGGTATGATACAGGTACTACTTCCTTTTCCTCTTAAACTTTTTACTTGTTAATTAGCTTAATTTATTAGAAAAACTGTTGTTTTCGAAGCTAAACGGCCCAAATGAAGGCTTGGTAGCGGTTATTCCAGTTCACCTAATTTCCTGCCTTAACACCAAGTGATTCCATTAACTTTAGTAATTTTAGATTCACTAACTTTAATTTTTGAGAATTTAGAATTCTTTTATATAAAATTTCGTTTTTAACTTTTGATTAATACTTCGTTATTAAGTGCAGGTGTAAAGAGATTGCGTACGGGAGTAGTGTTAACGACGACACCGTTCTCTACGTTTTCGTTATAGTTGTTGTTGGTATCCTTTTTAATTAATATTAGTTAATTATTATCGACTTTGATTTTCCCTTAATTACAGTCACTCCGGAAACTTTGTAATATTATAAAACTTTACTTGAGTATGTTACCATTCACCATCTTTTCATAGTTTTATTATTACTTTTTTAGGATTTATAATCTTGTAGAAAAAGAAAGAATCATCAAGAGTGGGGTTTTAATTAGTTTTTAAACAAGGCTCAAAATTGATCGGCTCAAGATCGGAGTGAGCCGGGCCCCTGCTCGTAGTCGGGCACAGTTGGCAAGAACACGTTTATTGTTGCTTTTTCTAGGATGTCTCCTCTGACCCTTATTATCATAATCGGAATATTTATGGTAATAAAAAGATTCCTTAAACACTTTTTGTTACCATTTTCTATAAAGAAATGAATTCAATTGGTTAGCCCTGCGGGTATGTTGAGTAGGCAGCCAGTCCTCGTCATATGGACGTTCGGTTACTTTTTAGCAAGTGTAAGTCTTTATTATTATTATTATTATTATTATTATTATTATTATTATTATTATTATTATTATTATTATTATTATTATTATTATTATTATTATTATTATTAATTATTATTATACTTTTCCAATTTACTTATAGTGCTTGCTTTGAGCGGCAGTGTGCACATGTTTTTTGGCATCCTTCGAAAATTTATGAGCACATTGGCATCTAGACTTTTACCTACTTCCGCGCGTCCTAAAATTAATATTTAGATGACACCTTAATTCAGTTTATTGTTATCATTATTATTATCTGCAGTCACGAATGTCAATTGAAGAAGGAAATAATAGCTATAATAAGTTTCAATTTAAAGATTTATATATGTCAAGTATAAATTCTTTCGTTTATTTTCAAATAAGTTCTAAATAATAAACGAGTTTTTACACCGCGTCAACTTTAGATTAGATTTACTCAACCAATGCTTGTGCCATAAAAAATTAAAAAAAAAAAATATTTGCTATACTTAATTTCTCGGTATAATTGATTTTGAGGTGCGCAGACGTAAAGGTAACTTTTGATCGTCTTCAACTCTATTAAAAAAAAAACATTTGCAATAAATTGTAGTCAGAAAATTTTCTTATTATTTCCCTTTAAAGTGTTTATATTCATCAACTTAAACACAAGATTGGGATCTGAAGTTTTATTTCAAAGAAAAGTCTTAAAAAAAAAATAAAATAAAACACTTTTGTTAAGTTTAATTACATTATATATTTTGTTATGCCTCAAGTCATTGATAAAACTTCTAATGGGTCGAAATCGGTATTCATTTAAAATTTTTGACAAATGAAAATTTCATTCAGATTTAAATTTTAATAAAAGTAAATAATAAACATATAAGCTTTAGCCTTAGCTCAAAAAAAACTCGGAAAGACTGTTTTTGAAATTCATAAAAATGAATTTTTCAGGGTTAAGTTTAATAAAAATAAAAATTGAATTTATATGCTTTAACTTTTTTAACCCTTTAAGTATTTGCAATTTTAACTTGAATTCAGTATTTATTTTTTTAAAATTCATCAAATTTTTTAGGGTTAAATTAGTAAAAGTAGATATTGTATATATACTATAACTTTAATTCTCGAAGTATTCACAGTTTCATATTTGAAATTCGGTAACCAAAAATCAAAATTTTCAGGGTTAAATTTAGTAAACGTACATATTGAATACGCAAACCACAACTTTAACCCCATCTCGCCGGCCTCATTCTATCTATATACTAGGGACTAGCACTGTTATTCAGAGGCCGAACCGAACCCCATAAAGTAATCGCGATACAAATATTGGCATCCATATTCGTATATT